TGTAATGGATTTTTTTTTTTTAACAGCTATTTCCAACACTCTCAGCAGCGCTCTGCATTTGAAGATTTAAAAAGGTCTGTGTCCAGAAAGCACTTTGCCTCCTGATAACCAGCTCAGCTTCAGCTGAAAAACTTTTTTGGAGGAGAGGAAATTGAGTTTCTCTTCTGTCTGCACTGTCAGCCCCCAGAGCATGAAGTCTGTTCTGCCCCTGATTGCTGTGCCCTGGAGAGGGCTCAGCGGTGTCCTTGGACCCCCACACACCCCTGTGCACTTCCATGGCTACAGCCACAGCCAGGCTGGTGCTGCCAGGGGGCAGCTCTGGCTCTGCTGAATGCCCAGGTTCAGCTGCTCTGGGTTCAAGTTGCCACTGCTGGAGATAAAACAAAACAGGGAAAATGATGGCATTTTGCTGGAAAATCAAGCACTCAACAGTCAAGCAGAGAAGTATTGAGGTTGCCCATATAATTTCTGCTGTGGTGGCCACATTACTTACTCAATGCCAGTGTTGTGCTCCTGTGAGCACCTTTATTTTCTCCTCTCACCTCTTTCCAGTTGTCTGCATGCAACGAGGTGGAGCAGTAGTTCTTAGAGAGCTGGCTGCTGCTGTGTGCTGGCCTGCATTTTCAGTGGCTGAATCAAATTAAGAGACGGCTACAAATACACAACTTCCCCCACCAGCTCTGTGTGCCTGGGTAACCATTTGCTGCAGTTGCCTGAGGACTGTCATGTAACTCTCGGGTTGAGGATGACTGATCTGGACAGTCTCTCCTGCCTCCAGCAGGAGCATGGAAGCTGTGGTCTGCAGCATGGAGGAGTTTAATACCCTGGTACAGAAACACCTAATGTGCTCAGTTATGCAGAAATAGCCCACTGTGCTCAGCACAGATTACAGGAAGGCAGACCATCACTGCCCCCTTTGCAGTCCGCCTCCTGTGTGGCTGCTTCCACACAACAAAAGAAAAAGTACATCTTCAGTGAAACATTCCCACAACCAAAGTCATTTTTCATGGCTGGTTTTACATCCCTAATCCTCCATCCCAGTGAGGTTTTGCCAGTAAAAAGGGCTTTACCTTTCTTACCAACACCCTCATGCCAGCTCGAGCCCTCCTTTCCTGAAGCCTGGGAGCCACTGTGCCTGGGGTCCTCACACCAGTGGCCTGGAGCAGGGGTTTCTTCCCCAGACCACCCACCAGTACAGCCACCCCACATCCACTTATGGCACAAGCCTTGTGCCCCTCTCCCCTTCCAGAGGGAAAACACCAGGGAAAGCACTTCTCCCAGGGGCACAGTGAACGTGGGTGCTGGAGCCTCTCAGCAGACTCCAGGCTGAAGCTCTGCTTCCATGGCTTGTGTTTGTATCCACTGAAACCTAACTCACCCCTGTTAGTCCTGCCAGCTGCTTCCAATCTTCTAAACAGAAGGATCTCTCTGTGCTATAAACTTCAGCTTTCCAAACACAAGCATCATCTGTTAAGCCAAAAGCTTTAGAAAGGATCCCTGAACACCAGGCTGAGTCCAACCAGCACAGGGTATATCTTCCCTGTGTCAGCAGACACCTAATGTATTTTTAGTGCTGTCAGAAACAAACCACTCCTTGATACTCCAGAGGGGGGGGGGGGAAATCATGCAGAAGTGGCGGTGAAGCCAATATTTTAAAAGACCCTTTCGAGAACTTGCCAGCCTCCTGGGGGAGCTTGTCAACATCTCCCACGTTAAATGAAAATCACTTTAAAATCCACAGGGGTTTTAAAGAAAAGCTGGAACATATCAAAGCTGCTGGGATGGCAAGCTTCATAACGTGCACAGTACATCAACACTTACAGACACTAAATCCTCCCCGGCCTCAAGGGAGCTCACAGCCCCCTGGAGCAAACCCTTTCCTAATGTATCTCTCAAATGAACTGCTAATCTCCTCTCTAAACTTGACAGCTGTCCTGCATGCTCTCAAACCCCCCTGTGCGTAAATCCTTCTATAGTTCTTGTTAAATCACTTGCTGGATCATTTTTCCTTTAATATGAGGAAAGAAATCTTTCCTCCAACCCCATACAAAGACCTCCCTCGCTGGCTGTTGTATATATTCCCAGGGGCCATCTTGGGCTTTACAGACTCCTCTGGCCAGTGGGATGTCCTACCCCAGTCCCCCCAGGCAGATTGCTCCCTCCCAGCAGTTCTGATGGGAGCTGATCCCGTGCTCAGATCAGCTTGAATCGCTGACACGGTTTCTCACTTCTCTGAGGGAGCAGAAAACTTTCCCCTTTGCTGGGCAGAGTTTGGCCTGTGGTGTTGAATCCACAGTGCCAACAGCTATTTGTCTCTTCTGCTCCAGATGATAGTTTTCCAGGGTTGCTGTGCAGCCTTGCCACAAGAACTCATATGAGACACCACCAAGACATCTGTGGTCTTACAAGTCCCAACTGGGGTTGCTGAAAGGGTAGTTTGGGATAGGGTCAGAAATAATCCCAATTTCCATCTGAGGACAAAGCAGTAGTTTTTCATGCAGTCCTCAACGTTTCCAATGAAAAACATTACAAATGAAAAACATTTCAAAGAACTCCAAAGCACCAGTGCTGTATCCTTCCTAGAAACAGCTACTTGTCCATTAGCTGTTCTTGACCACATATTTTGTTTACTGCTTGAAACTGGTAAAGAGCTTCACTGAGACATTGATTTGTTCCAATGTCAATAGTGGCATTCCCTACTCTTGCACCCAACAAACCAGATTTTTTGTGACATGACACCCAACAAGTTGGCACAAGGTTGGTGCAAGGCTGATGATCCCCAACAGAGGTTGGTCTCTGCAGAGACCTAATGCCTGACTGAGCTGTTGAGTCTTTGCTCAACACCTGGAATGCGAGGGGCCATTGGCAAAAATCTGGACAGAGAAAACATCAAAATAACTTTTGCAACATATCTTGTACACTTGGATTGGCAACACACACGAGCTCTGCCAAGAGCTGTCAGAGGGTGCTGTTACTGCAGTGTTGGTGATGAGTGTCTATCCTTCACAGTGTTTTTCTATGAGGATATTTTTTGTTTTGCTCCATGTTCTTCATCCCTCCCTGCATTAGCAGTGAGGGGAACAGGGCTGTTTACCTCTCTGCCTGTGCTACTGACACTGCTACAGCATGATTTGAAATTACTGCCTCTCCAATATTGTCTCTTAAAATGTCCACAGAAGAAGATGAGCCACAACAATTGCCCCAGGATGTGATGCTCCACCACTCTGACCGATCACCCCGCACTGTTTCACCCAGTTGTTACCTCTGTTTTATTGTATTCAAAGGCAATGGCCCCAATGGACCAGCCACAAAATGCTCCACTGAAGAGAGGAGAGGTGTGTCACATAACTGCACCTCAGAGACTGAGCTCTGGGCTGAGCCTGACACCACACAACTGTGAAATGTCCCTGCGGTCACCTGGTGCAGAACCGTGTCCCACCGTGAGCACGGTCTGGAACAGGATTTCCTTTGCAAATGTTTTCAGTACTGAAGCAAGTCCCATTTTCCAACCAAAGAATTCACACTCCAGCCAGCTCTATTCCCTGCAGCCATCTGCATTGTTCCTTGGTCCTTGATACACCCACTTCCCAGGCATTTCGCATGGCTGGAGAAGCATATCAAACCCTGGAGAGGTGTTTCTGATATCTGAGCTCATGAAACCTGCCGATTTCAGGTGCAAATAAAAGCACACTGTGAAGTTGCTCTACCTGCCAGAGGAGCACCTGTTAGATCGACTTATCAGGGCCTTGCACAGGGGAGACAGATTCCCCTCTGACAAAGCTCCACCGGCCGTGTTCAGCCCAGCAGCTCTTACTGGGGGCTGGAAATCAATAGGATCTTTACCTGTGGCTGCATTGCCAACTCTTCTTGCCCAAATGGAAGAGCACACGTGTGATGCTTCCCAAAGGAGGATCTGTTTCCTGGGTGGCCAGACTGGATGGGAATCATCAGGGTCAGCGAAGGGGGGACTTGCCTGTCCCCACCGCGGCCCCTCGTCCAGCAGCACGGCAGCTGCTCTGCGAGCACCGTCAGCGAGGGGAGGGCTGGGCCACCCGCACTCACCAGGCTCGGGGGGGTGCTGCAGGACACCCGTGCCCACCCTGCTGCCCAGGGTCCCTCCACATCCACCCACTGCACGCAGTGCCCTCACAACCTCAGTGTAGGTCAGGCCTGGCCCTTTTTTGGGCTGAATATTCCAGATTGGTTCCCCACACCTTAGCAGCACTCCAGTGAGTGCAATGTCCCTCCACATACCTGAGACACCATCCAAACCTTTTATTAGCTTTAAGTAAAAACAATCAAACCCGCTGACTAAGAGGGGTCCGAAGAGGAGATCCCCTCTGCCCCACACAGCTCACTGGCACCTACGGGGAGGCACCTGCTGCCCTTCTCCAGCTGAGGAGGCACGAACCGCTTCCCACTTGGGCGGCATTGAACTTGTTCTGTGCCCGCACATCGCTCTGCTGTGGGTGGAGCGGGTTGGTTTCGTACCGCGCTGCGCCGTCAGTGCGACGGTACCGGGCTGGGAGCGGTGTCACGGCACCGGCACGGCAGCGGGGCCGCGGGAGCATCCGGGACCGGCCCGTGTGGTCCGGACCCGGCACCCGATCCTGGGCCCGCTCCCCATCCCAGTCCCAGTCCCGATCCCGGTCCCGATCCCGGTCCCGATCCCGATCTCGATCCCGCTCCCAGTCCGGATCCCGGTCCCGACTCCGCTCAGCGGCCGCACCTGCGGGGCTGACGCGCGCCCCCAGGGCCGCTTGGCCACGCCTCCCTCTACCCCTCAGCCAATGAGCGGGAGGGGGCTCTGTCCGGTGGCCAATGGGAGCGCGGCGGGCGCGCCCCCGCCCCCTATTTGAGGCGCCGAGCGCGGCCGCGCGCTCGCAGAGGCGGCGGCGGAGCGGGCGGAGGGAGCGGGGCCGGGAGCGGGACCCGGAGCGGGAGCGGCCCCGGGAGCGGACGGTGCGCCCGGCGCTGCCCCGCACCGCGCTCGAGGGAGGGGCCGCTCCCATGGAGGCATTCCCCGGCGCCAAGCTGGAGCAGCACCGGCACCTCCCGCCCGTGGAGTGCCTGCCCGGCGCCCGCTACGGCGGCCGGAGCCACAGCGCCTGCGGGAACGTCTTCAACTCCTGGAACGACTACCTGGGGCTGGCCACGCTCATCACCAAGGCCGTGCGCCCCGGCAAGGGCTTCGGCGCAGAGCCCCCCTCGGTGGTGGTGGCGGCCGCCGTGCCGCCGGCCGAGGAGGAGGAGGAAGAGGAGGAGGAGGAGGAGGAAGAGGCGGCGGGGCCGTACTTCGAGGGCGCGCTGGACTTGCACGACCTGGACCTGTGCGGGCATCACCATCACCACCACCACGGCGAGGGGCTGCTGGAGGAGCGCTTCGCCGACTTCAGCCCGTTCCCCGGGCGCGGCGGCCCCGCCGCCGTGGTGTTCGACTGCTCGGGGGAGCACCCGGGCCGGGAGGGCTCTGCCTGGGGCGGCGTGGTGGTGGCGGGGCGGCTGCCGGCGCACCCGCGGGCCGCCTCCCGCCTGCTCAAGCCCGAGCTGCAGGTCTGCGTCTTCTGCCGGAACAACAAGGAGGCGGTGGCCCTCTACACCACGCACATCCTCAAGGGACCCGACGGCCGCGTCCTCTGCCCGGTGCTGCGGCGCTACACCTGCCCCCTCTGCGGCGCCAGCGGCGACAATGCCCACACCATCAAGTACTGCCCCCTCTCCAAAGTGCCGGCGGCCCGGCAGCTCCGGCACGCCCGGACGGCGCTGGGCAGGAAGGGCCGCTGACCCCCGGGACCGTCCCCCGGCCCGGTGACACTGCCCCGGCCGGTGCGCGCTGGCCCGCGCCGAGCCCGGCGGGGACTGCGCGGCGGAGATGCGCTGTGTTTGTTTATTGTAAGAAAGAAAATATATCTATATGTGATTTTTACGGAGACGGCGAGATCTGACTTGCGGGGAGCGGGTTCGGAGGGTCGAAGCAGCCGCCGGGAGGGTCGCGGGGGTCTCAGGTCGCCCGAGGAGGGGCAGCGCCGCCTCCTGCCGCCCGGCCCGGAGCGCATCCCAGACCGGGATCCTGCGGGGCTGCACCGCGGGGGGCGGGCCGGAGAGCTCTTCTTAATTGCCACTTAATAGCAGGGTGTTTAATTAGGGTATAACACTACGCCTTTCGGGTCTTAAAGCAAACATCCCATCAGTTTCCTTTGCCACTCTTAAAACCGGTGTGCAAATCGCGATCAAACCTGCCCTCAGTAGTTAACTCCTGCTTCCCGAAATCGCAGCGTCCTACCTGGAGCGGTGCCCCGCGGTCACTCGTGAGCCGTTCCACTCGTGAGCAGGGATGGCGCTGGCCTCGCAGGTCCCCGCATCTGATGCTCGGCTTTGGGGAGGGTCTGAGAGGAGAAAACACCGAAGTGCATGTTTGAAAACGTGATGACTCTGGGCCAGGATGCAAACGGAGTCCTTTCTGCTGACAGAAAGGCAGTTACAATGGCACAGAACAAGATTTGATGCAGCTGTGTTTGTAGTGGTGAAGGGGGAGGTGATGTGAAGCCTGGAGGAAAAAGACCTGGACAAAGCAGGAAGCCGTGACCATAGGATAATGGAAGAAAGGGAGGTTGTGTATTTTGAAGAGCTCAGAAAATGTGGCTTTAACTCATTGCAAGTAGAAGGGATCTACCCATGTGGTTAACAAATATCCTTAACACTACATAGACTGAACAAAGCATAAGAATTATATTGAAGATCTGGACTATCCTTGGTACTGAATATCAGCCAGGGGCTATGTTGTTTGTTATCCTCAAAAGACCAGAAATCACTTATTTTCTGACTCAGAGGAAGGAGAAGGAGCAGCAGCAGGCTTGTAGTTTGCTTAGGATTCCTCTGGAGCCAAAAGGCAGGTGCAGGAGTTTTCAGAGCAGAGTGTTTGTTACACTGCAGATGGCTTTGTGACACCTGGGATGAGGAGGGGTGCTCTGTCCAGGGAGGATGCCCTAATGAAAGCAGGGAGGTGAAGAGGGCCTTGTGGAGGAACTGCTGGGGCATCACCAGGACCCTGAGAAAGGAGATGGGTCCTGACAGGAAAAGGGAACCAGGAAAGTGAGGGGTGATTCACACTTGTGCAGTTTCCTTTTGAAAAGCTACTCAGCAGGGTGGGAGATGGGATCGAGAGAAGAGGGGGAGAGCAGGACAGTCAAGAATGGGCTCGTCGAAACATGTGTGGGATGGGCTGGGGATGAGGGTTCCGGGTTCATTATTCATCGCAGCTGTTGGCTCACAGCCACAGCAATTAGGAGGGAGAACCTGATTTTGTGTGGAAGTGTTCCTTTAAGTCTCCATCAGATGACTCCAAAGATGGTGTCAGCTCTAATTACCAAATGCAGTGGGGCTTGCATTAAATAACACTCAGTGGCTGCAGTTACCCTTGTGGCAGCCTCTCTCCTTGTGCTATATACCATTACTTATTGTCTCCTGCTCCATGGGGTGTGCACCACTGGCTCTTCTAAGCTGTTAGAAGTTAGATGTGTTTGGTTTTGTGATTCCTGGTCCACGTAGGTTTAATCTGTGTCCACCTCACATTAGAATCAAGCTCGTGTGATGCTGTGGGAAGAGTTTTCTTCTGTATTTTTGTTTCCTTGTGGGAAGTTTTGAAGATCCGTATATACATTTCAATGCAGTTGACTGTTACTGGACACAAAAGCAAGAAAGATCTAAGTAAATCTGTCTCGGGTGTTTTCTGAGGGTTGACTGGCCGGGCTGGATTGGAGTTGCTCCTTGCAGGGTTTGCCATGTCCCTGCCCCACCTCTCTGCTCTTTCCATTAAGCTGCTGTGCAGTACCAGCCCTGGAAATGCATCAGGATACCAGCAGATCCCCTGCCTCGGATGGCACTGGCCTAGAGCAGCACCTGTGCGAGAGGGAAAGGGTTGTATTGATGGCCTGGGCTCTGTTTCCCCTGCTTCCTCTCTCATCCCACATGTGCACAGCCTGGCTGTGGGAAGGCCAAGAGCTGCCTGTCATCGCTGGCACGTGGCATGAGGCATCTGATCAGAGTCTTAACAGGTAAAGTGGGAGAGTAACAGCTTCAAAAGACCAGCTGGGAGTGGGGAGAAATAAAACAACAGACTGTTCCAGAGAGGAGATGATGAGATTCAGCATCGGCAACAGAGAGCCTGAGAGCAAGGCTCTTCAGCTACTTTACATGATCATTCAACAGGACAATTTCCCCTTCTAAGTTTTACAAGTAAGAGTCTAACAAAGACTAAACCTTTAAGGATATTTTGATTGGTCTTTTTAAAGTAAGCTCCTGTGATTTCTGGTGCACCAGCACACTCCTTGTGGCACTGAGTAAGCAGGAGCATGCTTGTTCTTGGTCAGTCTGAAAAGCTTACTACAATTCATAGTGTTTGTAGAGCTACTTTGATTCCTTAAATACTGGGAACCACTTACATTAGTAATTTAAATCCTAGGAACAGCAAAAAGCTGAATCTGAAAGCAGGTCAGTTTAGAGCTGTTATATGCTCTGCAGAAGAGGTCTATGAAAAGTGAGATATTATTTCACTTTTCTACAGGCATCTGCAAATCAAAATATTATGGCCACGTGTTTAAACCAAATACTATATCTTCAGAGAATTGCTTTATTACAGGGAAATATTCCTATGCATGTTAGTGATGGAATCTTTTCCATAGCAATGTTCTGGCAAGAGAAGCAAACACAATATTGGATAATCATCCTCAGCTGATACTAGTCTTGGCAAAAAGCAAGCTGCTCCTAATTAAAACTACTTTCAGATGTATAGATAACTTGATCCAGCTGAAGTCAGGTAAGTCTGTGCCCTTGTTTAGTGGAAATCCTGTCGGGACAGGTTGCTCTCAGGTAACTGCCACAGGAGTAAACCACAATGGCTATAAAATGTCCTTCCCTCCTAGAGTGGCAGCTTCACCCACACTGGAGGTAGTTTGCCAACAGTTGCGTGGGGAAGAAGATGATTAATTTTAATATGCCAGTTGTCTGGGCAAAACACAAGTGCTACACTAAATCCAGAAAGAGATGTAGCAAAGCCAGTAGGTTGTCCTGCCCAAGTGTAAAAGGGCTAAGAGCTTAAATTGCAGCAAGGGAGGTTTTGATTAGCAAAAACCCAGTGGAATAGCTTGTAGAATCTCCATCCTACCATAATTAAATGCCTTAATAATTCTATTTAAGAGGAGGATCAGAGAAAGTGTAGAGCATTTCAGTTCCAGCTGGTCCTGCCATGGCAAAATAGGAAGAATTGTGTTTTTGTTAAGCCACTTGTGTGCCTACTTCTTGCAGTGCTGCAGTAAACCACACAGGATGGGTACCAGTGCCCGAATCACAGGGAAATTTTGGATCTTGCATTTCACTGACCCAGCACCTTCTCTTTGTAGGCTCCCACCATTCAGCAGTACCTTTTAGTTAAAGGAGGAAAAGCTGCTTACATGTAGCAGTTCCTGTCAATGAGTGCAGCCCAAGGGCATTCAAACCACAAAGATGTTTCATTTACAAGGCAAACCTCCCAGTACTCTTGCTGTTTGAGGTGTCTCCTGGCTGCCCACCAGCCCACCCTGACATCCTCCTGGTCCTGCCCATGGCCACACTGAGGCCACCAAGGTCATGGCATGTCCTGGGGCTGTGCTTAGTCAGGAGCTGCACTCATTGCCCTGCCCTGCCAGTCCTCATAAATACTGATTTTGTGAAAAACTCCTATTAGTTTTTATAACAGAGGCACTCTAGAAAAAACTTATTTAAAATCCCTATTATGCCCTGCTTCTGCCGGGGACCCTGATGGTCCTCAGGCCTGCTCAAGGGCTGGGTCAGTCTGTGGGCTGCTCTGGGAGCAGCAAACAAACAGCCCTGTTCAGACCTGACCCCTGCCTTGCTCTGCTCCTGGAGATTCATTTCAATTGAGCAACACTTGAATCCATTTAAACAGCAGCAGCCTTAAGCTCTGCCTTCTAAATACAACCTGTGACAGTTTGTATTCTTCTAAGGTTCACTGAAAACTTTAGTTCTTCAACTGAATGTGATTCAATCAAACAAAGCAAAGGTTGACAGAGAACTCATTTGCCTTCCTCAGGTAATCAAACTTTGTGCTCATGTCTAATGATGGCAGTAGATGGAGGTTTGAGCTGTTGGATCTGGTCAGTAGTGGGTTTTGATCACTGTAGTTAGTATTGTGTCTAAAACCATCAAGCAGTAAAATAAACACACTGGCATGTCTGCAAAGCTCACATCTCCCAGATCTTTTCTCAAGCTGCCCAGTCCTTGGGAATTTTACATGTGTTGGCAACATTATCACAGTCTCAAATAATGGAAGTTAATAACATAGATGGGGGAACAGAGCTTTAGCTGGTGCAGTGATCACTGACATCCACTCCTGTGTAAAACTGTCTTTGTATGGATACTATTAAAACTATGTAACTGAGGGTATAACAATCACTTTTTACATATTACAATGGCTGGGGAGAGGCAAATGTACCTGTCTTTGAAAAAGACTGAAATGATCATCTGAAAAACTACAGGCCAGATGGTGTTGCTTCAGTCCCTGGGAAAATCACAGAGGAAGTCCTTTCAGAGCCTGTTTTTGGGCACATGCAGAAGTTGAAGATTGGGAACAGCCAGCAGGCATTTACTGAGGGCAAACCATGCCTGGCTAGCCTGCCTTCTACAACAAAATAACTCTGTGGCCAAGGGAAGGAGCAGTGGATGTTCTTCATCTCAACTGTAGCAAGGATGTCAGTGCTGTCACACAATATCCTGGCACCCAGGTGAGGAT